AGACCTGTTTTGTAGCACTCTACTGGGTAATCGATTAATGAGGTATGTGGCTGTTAAGACTGCTTCCCCCAGCAGAATTTAGGAACATTTTTCTCAAACAATAAAGCGCGACTGACTTCTAGGAGATGACGATTTTTTCTTTCTGCAACCCCATTTTGTTCAGGAGTGTCAACACATGAAGACTCATGGATTATGCCATGTGTTTGAAGGAATAGTGACATTACTTGATTAAAGTATTCTCTCCCATTATCATAACGAATATACTTAATGTGAATTCCGAATTGTGTAAGAATCATTTTATGAAATATGGGAAAAATTACACTCACATCAATTTTTTTTTCCATTAGAAAGAGCCAAGTAGTTCGAGAGTAATCATCTATAAAGGAAACAAACCAACGAGCACCACTGATGTTTGAAATTCTAGATGGTCCCCACACATCTGTATGCACTCGGGAGAAAGGTACAGATGATCTTGAGGGGCAGTAGCGGCAGCAACAGTAACAGCAAGAACTGGGGCAATTAAGGCCAAACTCTCACTTGGTGGAGTTTCAAGCATGACGCCTCTCCTTCCTTCTTCACCACGGACAGTGGAGAATACTTCACTCAAGGATGGTAGTGAATCTTTTCCAAGTATTTGCACACGGACTTGGTCATATTCCACATTCAAACCAGCCAAGAACTCATAAACTCTTTCTCCTTCAACAAATTTTAACATCATTGCAGCATCTTCGCTGCATTTCATCTTAAAGTTTGGTAGTAATCGAGTTCAATCCACAAATTTTTCATTTTGTTGTAATAAGCGGTGACCGAGAGATTACCTTGCTTGGTTGAGTGAATTTTTGTCTTAATCTCATAGACTAAGGCAGCATCACGAACCTTTGAATAGGTCTCCTTCGCGGTGTCCCAGATGTCTTTTGACGTGGGTAGAAACATAGGATTGCCACTGATTTCGGGCTGCATTGAGTTCCAAAGTCATGTCATGATTGATGAGTCTTCTACATCCCAAGCCTCGAACTTTGGATCATCCTCCTTCGGTATGGGGCCTGTCAAGTGACTCAACTTGCCTTTTCCTTTAAGGAAGGTTCTAACTAATTGGGACCACACTAGATAATTTCGGCCATTGAGCTTGAAGGAGGGCTACAGGTTTTGATATTCACCTGTTTGCGGCAGGGGGTTTTGGGTTGAATCAGAGGTTAGGTTGACATCTGTGGTATTGTTGCCTGTTTCATAAAAATCTGACATTTTGTAGGTGCCTAAAGGAATAACAGTGGACAGTTTTTTTTCAGCAAAAGATTGCGAGGGGCTCTAATACCATGAACAAACAAATGTTCTCACTGTATATTATTTCATTGAGGAAGATTTACAACTATTTATAGAGTACAGGGGTATTGTCTAATTTGGTATATAGCCTAAACTAGGAAACTCTTAATACAAAAGAATCAGGTAATGAATTCTGGTATGACAGTCACCTATACAGCTTGCATTGACTTGAAATACTAGGAAACTTTCTCTAAGAATCCGATCATTGACTAGACAAATCAGGGAATGATTTCCCTGAGAATCCAAGGGAAATCATGGAGTGATTTTCTTGATTTCAAGTCAACGAATCTAGACAGATTCGTCAATAAAGTTCAATGTTATCAGATTATTATCCCTCATGTAATTGGACCAATGTTTTAATCTCATTAACCCAGCCTTGAGCATTGTACCATGATAACATAAAGAATGAGCAATTCATTTTTCAGTTGAGCAACAAGATTCTTTGTCTACAAAGAAAGTCATTTGAATTAATGAAGCACAGAAACTTGCAGCTTAACAAAAATTCTATCCACAAATTTGGAGAAAGAAGGGTTTTTGCAAAGCACTAACCTCCTTGAGAAAAGCCAACATGTTAGGTGTCGGTTCATGGAAATCTGCGCCCCTGTAATCAACAATTTTATCTGGTTCTTGAATATAGTTCACAGTTGGGTAAACAGGATCTCCACCCCATACTACAAAGGCCAAATGCGACAGTCAGTTACCAGAGCACCATGAAATTGATCAAGTAGCAGAATGGAGATCCTCATTTTCAACCGTGATCCTCTCACGATAGATTTGGTTCAGAGAGTTTGACAGATGAAAGAGAAATTCGATCAAGATCTAATAACCTCTAAGCAGACTCTTCTTGCATTAAATGCAAAAGAATAAGCAGCAGATGAAAACATATGCTAGAAAATAAGAGGCATGAAAAATGCAAACTTAGTAGCTTTTTAGTGAATACTTTGCTTTATTTGATCCTCGCGCATTCGCATCGCTAAAGGATCCCTACGTATGCGGATGTCGGTTCCCATCATTATGCGATACTCTCGATCTGTCTGGTGAGGATTACCTTGCTTGGTTGAGTGAATTTTTGTCTTAATCTCATAGACTAAGGCAGCATCACGAACCTTTGAATAGGTCTCCTTCGCGGTGTCCCAGATGTCTTTTGACGTGGGCAGAAACATAGGATTGCCACTGATTTCGGGCTGCATCGAGTTCCAAAACCATGTCATGATTGATGAGTCTTCTACATCCCAAGCCTCGAACTTTGGATCATCCTCCTTCGGTATGGGGCCTGTCAAGTGACTCAACTTGCCTTTTCCTTTAAGGAAGGTTCTAACTAATTGGGACCACACTAGATAATTTCGGCCATTGAGCTTGAAGGAGGGCTACAGGTTTTGATATTCACCTGTTTGCGGCAGGGGGTTTTGGGTTGAATCAGAGGTTAGGTTGACATCTGTGGTATTGTTGCCTGTTTCATAAAAATCTGACATTTTGTAGGTGCCTAAAGGAATAACAGTGGACAGTTTTTTTTCAGCAAAAGATTGCGAGGGGCTCTAATACCATGAACAAACAAATGTTCTCACTGTATATTATTTCATTGAGGAAGATTTACAACTATTTATAGAGTACAGGGGTATTGTCTAATTTGGTATATAGCCTAAACTAGGAAACTCTTAATACAAAAGAATCAGGTAATGAATTCTGGTATGACAGCCACCTATACAGCTTGCATTGACTTGAAATACTAGGAAACTTTCTCTAAGAATCCGATCATTGACTAGACAAATCAGGGAATGATTTCCCTGAGAATCCAAGGGAAATCATGGAGTGATTTTCCTGATTTCGAGTCAACGAATCTGTCTAGATTCGTCAACAAAGTTCAATGTTATCAGATTATTATCCCTCATGTAATTGGACCAATGTTTTAATCTCATTAACCCAGCCTTGTGCATTGTACCATGATAACATAAAGAATGAGCAATTCATTTTTCAGTTGAGCAACAAGATTCTTTGTCTACAAAGAAAGTCATTTGAATTAATGAAGCACAGAAACTTGCAGCTTAACAAAAATTCTATCCACAAATTTGGAGAAAGAAGGGTTTTTGCAAAGCACTAACCTCCTTGAGAAAAGCCAACATGTTAGGTGTCGGTTCATGGAAATCTGCGCCCCTGTAATCAACAATTTTATCTGGTTCTTGAATATAGTTCACAGTTGGGTAAACAGGATCTCCACCCCATACTACAAAGGCCAAATGCAACAGTCAGTTACCAGAGCACCATGAAATTGATCAAGTAGCAGAATGGAGATCCTCATTTTCAACCGTGATCCTCTCACAATAGATTTGGTTCAGAGAGTTTGACAGATGAAAGAGAAATTCGATCAAGATCTAATAACCTCTAAGCAGACTCTTCTTGCATTAAATGCAAAAGAATAAGCAGCAGATGAAAACATATGCTAGAAAATAAGAGGCATGAAAAATGCAAACTTAGTAGCTTTTTAGTGAATACTTTGCTTTATTTGATCCTCGCGCATTCGCATCGCTAAAGGATCCCTACGTATGCGGATGTCGGTTCCCATCATTATGCGATACTCTCGATCTGTCTGGTGAGAAAACATTTCAATTAGTTGGGTTACTTCATCTTCACCCGTTTCTTCGTAATGTTTCTGAATAGCATCTCTTGAAGTGCCCTTCTTCCATGCTTTTACCCATTCTGAGTAGTATGCAATTGGACCAACTTTATTCAGCCTCTCTTTCTCAACTTGAAGCCTACATTTACCAACAACAATTTAAATCATTCCCTATAAGCACCATTAGAATACTATAGCAAGTGTTGGACCAAAATAGTCACACTGTACAAGGGAGACTAAACAGGTTGTTAACTTATTAATAATATCATTAGTGTTATTAGTATTATTTCTCTAGTTTTCCAAATTAGTAACTAAGCTTACTTTGTTTACTTCCATATGAATATTCAGCAACTAACTAAAGGAGTAGCCAAAAAAATCTTCAGTTCATATGCAATCGATCGGTTTCAATGTGTCAATAAGCAGGGAAACTAAAACCTTACGCTTTTCCATAAGGTTGTAACTATAAAATTTGGACTAGCAAAGCTGCCAAAGCAATTGGTCAACAAACTGAAAGCAGAAAAGACAGGGACCAGAAACAAGTGAACTTCCACTCATTTCATCATATGGAAATTAAAAGTAAATATATGTTCGCACATTTGTGGGTAGGGTCAAAACAGAGAGAGCATAAGCTATCATAATGGAACATAGGATAAAAAAGATATGCAGAAGTGATGGAATAACAATATTTATAAGTAATTCCACTAACAAACATTGTGGGTCATCATTATCATACTCAAAGCAAGCTCATATGGATATTGATAATGGCCCTTAATATAATTTAGAAAATCAATCATGCACAACCAAACACAAACCCTCAAAACTTTAGAAACTTTCCCAACTTTTTTAAACTGGAACTATAACGCTCTGCTAGTTTGAAAATAAAGCAAGAGGGAACTTGACAAAAGATGTCAAATGAGAAAGAACCATTTAAGGCACTCTTAATTTTACAAAACAGAAATTACGAAACAGAAATTGATCTCTATATTAGAATTTTTCCCTAACACACGAGGGGATTGTTTATGAAGAGCTGAAAGCAACCTTTCAAGATGTTAAGTTCATCCAAGGAAAGAAAAAACCAATTTTCAAGACACATAAAGAAGAAAAGATAATTGGAGTGACCACAATATCTTAAAGACATTGTATTAAGGTCTCATTCTTCTTGATTGTAACCTGTAAACCGCTTGATTTGGAAAATAAACTGTATGCCGTTTAGTTATTGAAAACAATGCAGTCTAATACCATTCAATTGGTGTAAAAGGATTTTCTACCAGCCAAAAGTTTGCAGCAAACATTAAATTTGAGACAAACTAAATTACTTCCTAAATCTTTTAGTAATTACTTCTTAATTTTTTTTCTAGCAAAAAAAAAAAGGGAAAAAAAGTCCAACAAAATATTTTTGCATATGAGCTCTTCAACATGACAACGTGTAACTAGCCTTTCCCTGCTTGAGTGTGTGGACTCATATGATATAAATATACACAACTTGTGGACACAAACATGGATACCTTTCTTCCTTGAAAAGATGTCGTCTAGCTCTGTAAAGAGAAGTTTCAGTCAATGTTGGATGTTCACCATAAAGCTTAACCTGCCCAGTCTCTGCCATTGCTTTGAGAAAAACCTGAAATTAAAAGAAAAACTTGATATCAAAACAAGAGACCTTTAGTGTCTCTTTGAGAATATCCTAGGCTGTGTATGAATGCAAAACGAACAATTGACCAACAAAAAGGTAACTTGTCAAATTTTTTCAATAAAGCTAATCCGTGTGGCATGTCCTATTTATTCAATCCTCGTGTAAACAAGATCCTAGAAGTGGTACATGCGTAAAGGTTCTGTATATACCACGGAATAAAGCCAAATGATTGAACATCTATGTTACAATATGATCTATATTAATTAGATTATTTCCCCACTCATCTTTTAACATGTAAGAAATGTTTTCTTGCTGTATAATCACAAACCGTTTCAACATCAGGCCGTCTCCTTTGCCATCTAGACCATTGTTCCTTGTCTGGCTTTCTCCAGTTCCACCACAATTCATCGCTTGTAAGTGGCTCCTCTATTGGCTTTTTCACTTTGGGATCAATAAATGGGTGAGGACGTCCAAGTTTCTTGTCAAGATCAAATCCAGTTTCTTCTTCTTTTTCAGGTTCTGTTTGATAAACAACATATTCAGACGAGTTGTCTTTAGGGTCTTCCATCGCGTCCTCTGAAGTTTCAGACAACACAGGATCACTGGACTCTACACTCACTTCAGATGACTTGGGAGCGGAAACTGATGTTGTTTGCTTCCTCCTCCTACTTCCAGGATTTTTGCCATAGGATGGAGATCCTAGGGAGTTACCAGTAGGCTCAGGAGCTCGAGCAGCCCTAACTCGATCAGCCGTGCCTTCTGGCCAATACTCTTTCCCTGGAATGCTGGCACGAGCCCCAGATGCTGGTTCAAGCTGCCCCGAGGTCGAGTCCATATAACTATAATATGGTGGACGCTCGACAGACACCTGCTTAAAGTTTTCATCATCTTTCTTCTCGCACTTAATTGAATGCAGTTTACTTACTCTCTTCGATGAATCAGTGGAGCCAACTCTAACTTGAAATGTTCGAGAACTTAAAAATGATGTCTGCAGTTCATAAAAAATCATATATTCCCAAGTTTAGCACCATAGAAAATACCAAAAGGAAATGCAAAATGAGACTGTGTCCATGTTAAAGTGATATAGAGTCCTTGAAAAAGAAAAATAGCAGGTTCATCTAAGAAATTTCGGCATTAATCATTTAATGTTTTGTTATAGCCTGAATTTGAAAGAGTTAGCCCAACAACTATAGTAAAACAAACAATACAAACAACAAGGACTAAAATCTACGTAGCATATGCAGCTGCACGAGCAAGTGCACAGGTAATGAATAAAGAACTCACGTCTGCCTCTTTGTAGAACTTGTCCAAGAGGCAACTAGTTACAAAGAAACAGAATACTTAAAATCCCAAGTTCAAATGCTCAATCTATAAACAAGAAGAAGAAAAGACTACTGAGTGATACACAAGTGGAGTTCTTTTTTTTTTTTTTGATAAAGAAGTGGAGTTTACTTTGAAGCCAAGAATTGCAATTCTTAAGCACCTCACAAAAGTGCACAAAAGTGCACAAAAGGATTCGTGCAAGCCGCTTTGCAAGAGATTATGAAACCAAAATCAACCAAAGAAACAAAAAAACCCCTTCTTCCCTTAGCATAGAAATCAATTTGCAAAGGAAAAAAAAAGTGCAAGCCGTATTGATGCATTAACACTCAACTCAAGCAACAAATTATGAAACTAAAGGCCATAAGAAATAAAATTAAAAAACCTGCAACTGATTGAAACATGGGTTCCTAGTAATATAGCCATCTGCAGAGACTGTACCCCTCAATCCCATATCTGCCAAAGACAAACCCAAAATTAATTATCTTGTAAGTTGTTTTCTAAATGAATAAAAATGAATCATCCAACAATTATATCTGCCAAAAAAAAAAAATACCTTGGTACAGCCAAGCTGCTGACATAGATGCCATTTCTATTTACCCCCAGTACATATATCACCCAAATCTGAAGGAGTGTACAATTAAGACAAAAGAATCTGTTAATGTAAAATATAGGACCCCATTTGAGCCCAAACCAAGAAGAGCACAAAATCCCTCAAACTGAATAAGTTTAACTCGATTAGTGAAAATTTTTCGAGTGTTGTTCCATTTTAGTCTGATGGGTAACTCAAAAACAGACAATCTTGATATTCGCAAGTATGATTTAGCTTAACCAAGAAAGATGGGAGTATTTGTTTTTTACCTGTAACAAAACCAAGCGAACCAAGGTTGACGGGTTTAGTTGAATTTCTTTATCAGCTTCTGAATGTGAAACAGAGAACGGGAATGGCTGAGGATGTTTGGGTTTGAATTCGTGTGATCTGCTGGAGAAAGCGGACACTGGACGAGGCTTTGGATTTTGGAGAGTGAAAATGGATAAACTATACTCCCATGAAACCTTACCTTTACCCGTGGGCCGTGGAGGTTTAAGATATCTTCTCTTTAAATTTTTACACTAAAAAAAAAAAAAAAAAACAAAAAAAAGGAAGATTTGTCCTTTTCTTTTTAATTTTTAAGAGAATTTTACGGGTCGAGTTGGGCGGTTGGACGGTTTTTTTTAGAAACCATTTATTAAGAGCTTATTTAATTCGCTATTTCAAATTTTTAATTTAAATTGAGATGTGATTTTATATGAAAATTTTTTATTATAGTAAAAAAGTTAAATGTGATTATTTTTAAAAATTTTTTACTATAATAAAATTCAAATCGGTGAAATGAACAGGTCTAAATCAAAAGTAATTTTTTTAAGCGGTTAGGCAGTTTAATATTTCTAACAAAATTTAAATCAAACCAAATCACTCATAAATAGTTTGAGCGGTTAATATGAGACAAAAGGTTTTAATAATTAATAAAAATATGTTTTAAGTTTATAATATAATTTAAAAAAATTACAAATAAATAAAAATGAAATAGAGTGTTTTATAATCGTACAATCTCTATTGTGACCAATAGAAATTAAAATAAAGAAAAAATATTTTAAATATAAAAAATTATATATGTATATTTTTGGACATATTATTCCGCGTTTTAAAGAATCCAAACCATTAACTAAACCCCCAAAAAATTAGACAAAATTCGTGTGAGCTGCTGGAGAAAGCGGACACTGGACAAGGCTTTGGATTTTGGAGAGTGAAAATGGATAAACTATACTCCCATGAAACCTTACCTTTACCCGTGGGCCGCGGAGGTTCTGGGTCCGTTTAGTTCGTTGATTCGAGTTTTTAATTTGAGTTGAGATATGATTTTATATGACAGTTTTTTATTATAGTAAAAAAATTAGATGTGATTATTTGTGAGAGCTTTTTACTGTAACAAAACTCGAATTCTAAACTCAAATAAGCAAAATGAACGGGGCCTTAAAATATCTTCTCTTTAAATTTTTACACTAAAAAAAAAACAAACAAAAAAAAGGAAGATTTGTCCTTTTCTTTTTAATTTTTAAGAGAATTTTACGAGGTCGAGTTGGGCGGTTGGACGGTTTTTTTTAAAAACCAGTCACTAAGGGTTTGTTTAATTCGCTATTTCAAATTTTTAATTTAAATTGAGATGTGACTCTATATGAAAATTTTTTATTATAGTAAAAAAGTTAAATGTGATTGTTTTTCAAAATTTTTTACTATAATAAAACTTAAATCGGTGAAATGAACGGGTCTAAATCAAAAGTAATTTTTTTAAGCGGTTAGGCAGTTTATTATTTCTAACAAAATTTAAATCAAACCAAATCACTCATAAATAGTTTGAGCAGTTAATATGAGACAAAAGATTTTAATAATTAATAAAAATATGTTTTAAGTTTATAATATAATTTAAAAAAAATTACAAATAAATAAAAATGAAATAGAGTGTTTTATAATCGTA